TATCATATCGATTCATAAAACCATTTGTTCTGTGTTAGTTATCAGCAGCGCCTAATTACTCTGTATTGGTTTTGTTACTTTGGGGCACTTTATCGAACACTTTAACGCACCAGCCGCGAAAATCAATCAGTTAGTCTGTTCTAGTATTTGGTGTGTTGCTGAATTCGCGAATTTATTTTCTGCTCTTCGACGGGTGGTCAATTAATCCTTTCAAAAATCTTACCACTTCGCTTATCGCGTTGGTCTGACTTTTCTGTGCCGCTTAGCAGTGTTTGTGTATTAAACTCGGCGAATATAACCTTTTAGCCGGTTTGTTCAATACCAGTACTTGGTGTATATACATACAGTGTTGTGTTCGAGGAAGTGACGTCAGCGAGATTTCCCTATTTACGATATCTAATCGTTTGGTGAATTAAATTTCATAATACATTCGGGAATATTTTGCTATAACTAAACATGGCGGACATTTTAGACGTGGAGCACCATCAAGTTTTTGAGGAATACAAGCAGACCTTAGAGGAATTGCTGCCAATTGTAAGTTTTTTTTGTTTTTGGAAAGTGAGAGTACATTGGAAGTGGTGCAAATGTCGTGATTTGTGGTTTAGATGGATAGCTTACGAAAAATGTCAATAAAATACAACTCAATATGATTAGTCATACAAGAAGAGGAGCTTTTGGATATACCGATTTAAAATAATTGTAAATAAAATTTTATATATCGTTATTATGGTATTGAGAATGATGCACCCTAATGTCATGTGCATGTATACTACGTTTGCAAATTTCCGGATTTAGTGATATATTATTTTCCTATATTTCACGAGAAGTCGGACGGGCTATGATGGGTTCAGCAATAGCCCCTTATATTAAAGTTTATAATTCCAGACTGGCATAGGATTTCCCACATTTTTGTAAAAAAAAAAATAATAATTTAACCCTTGACGACGGAGGGGTCTAAAACGGTCACTCTTTAATTTATAGTTTTATTAAAAAAGTTTGAATGCAGTTTTTTTAATATGTTTTGACCCAAAAATCTTTAAGCTTGAGATTCAGTTCATTTCTGTACTATTTATTTAAGTAGTATAGATATTCCCAAAGAAAATCTTTTTTTTTCAACGATTTATGAACTTTCTTTCATGCCCTCACTATCCTTATCTAGCACGTATTTTATTCTCGACCATACAAGCGGAACTTATACATATGTATATAGCTATAAATAACGATTTATTGCATTTTTTTTACTGTGTTCTATGTGTCGTTGCTGTCTAAAGTATTCGTTGCACTAAGCATTCTGGTGGTGTTTGTTATCATTTTCTTTAGCAATTTTACTATATACAGTATATTTTGCTTAGCTGCACATCCTTCTTTGCACGAAAAACTTGTGCACTTAACCGAAAAAGGCACTTAAGCGAATTTTCTTTACTACTTCAATGAGGAAGTTATCCAAGTCCCTATGAAAGCAAATAATGGAGAAGCACTTACCACGTAGAAATTACTGCAAGCGAAATTTTTACCGAATAGTATCTAATTATCTATATAACTACATAAATTTATAGCCATTTTCGTTGTTCTGTGAGCTGAACAAAATAAATAAAAAGTTGTAAAATTAGGTAATTGTAGGGCCAGTGCAGGTAAATGTAATACTTTCTTTGATAATTGATACTAGTCACATATTTTTTAAGGCAGGTATCGCCAATGTGCAGGTATGCTAAATGCATCTATCGGAGCAGTTTCCTTATAAATGTTAAAAATAATGCCTCTGATGCGCATTTTGGGGTAGGTATCTTAAATGTGCACTTAAGCATAGAGGCAGCAAAGCAAAATATACTGTATTATGTTATTCGAAGTAGTGTGTGTATTATTGGTATGTTCAATTTTCATACTTGCCTATGAATTTTCACCGATTTTCAATTCGCATGAAAAAACTATTTAAGTTCAAAAGTTGATTAAATACATATCACATTCAAATTTATGATTTTTTTTTATCGTCCAAGTTGTTAAAATTTTAATTAAAACTTTTTTACCTACCAAAATTACCATTTTTGCCTTTCACACTATTGCTCAAACTGTTTTCAATTTCATTTCAATTTGGTTATCTTATCGCTTTGCATGAAAAAAAAAATCATAATTATCTTGAATACCTTTGCCGGTTATAAATACTCGTGACAGTGTTGCATATGATTATTGGTGGTGCAAAATGAGGTATCTAATCAATATTGTTGCAATCTTTTTTTCTTGCTTAAGCAAATGTTTTCGACTACACAGCTCAAAAAAATCAGAATACTTACTTGTCATTGAGTTTTTTAATACATAAATTCATATATTTGTACATTAGGGTGCTTCACCAAAAAAAAAATTGCGGTTTTCCATGGGAATTATAAAATTTAATATATGTTTATTCGAGCTTGTTTTTATCAACTAAACTATTTTATTTTTTCAAAAAACAAATTACTCAGATGATAGAGAAGTTTAAGCTTAAAAGGTCTGCATAATTTCTGCAAATGTTTAAAAATTTTTATTAACGCAATCAAAATAAACAGATTTTTGGAGGTATCTTCAAATTGGTCCAGCTCACGTAAATTGTAATATATTAATTTTTTTTTTTGAAATATGTATAATAAATTTTATAATTCCGATGGGTAAACTGTGCCGATGTTTTTTTTTTTTGGAGAATGATGCCCCTAATGTTCATATATCGTTAGATATATCGTATATAGAGTTAAGTCTCGTTAAAAAAATTCTCAAACTTGATTTCCCAAAATTTTCATTTTTACACATTCATGCTTCTGGCATGCGGGGGACAATATGTATCTTATATATTTCCGTGAGGGAGTTTTATTCTTAATTACAAACGATCTTTATGGTTCCCATGAATACATCAACACTACACCCAATCCATACCCAAGTCCGAGTTGATGTATCCTGCTTGAACTCCAGTATTTAAGCGGATAATTGATTCTGTTTGAAATTTTCAAAGGCAAAAAAATTTATTATTTTTAACCGACTTCCAAAAAAGGAGGAGGTTATCAGTTCGTCGGAATATTTTGTTTTTTTGTTTGTTTTATGTATGTTACCGCATAACTTTACACCACGTCAACCGATTTCAATAATTTTTGCAACGGAAAGGTAGTGTCTCAGAGGTGGTCCCATACTAATTTGGTTTAGGTCCGATCATTGGATCATGAAATATATAGATATATATATATTTTTTTAAGTCGGTTTTTTTTGCTAAAAATTACTTGTTGTTATATGTATATAGTAGGTACTTAGATAAAACATTTAATCTCATCACAAATGCATTCCTCTCACGTATCTAAAATTCATTGTACTGATTTTGCATTCTAAATTGACCTTATTACAATTGGAATTTCTGCAATTTGTCTCACTCTTCCAATCCTCTCGTCCGGCTGCCATTTTCTGTGTATGTTCATAAAATTATTTCATCCGACTTCATGTGCTATAAAAAATTATCGCTGAAAGTCGTAATATTAATTGCAAAATCAAAGGTGTGTTTTGCCGCGAAATAACAAATAACAGAAACTTTGTGCGAATTCACTTTTATTTTAATAAACAGTAATTGTGTACGTTTGCGCATTTTTTTTGTATTTGATATTTTTCACCTTATTTTTGCGCGCATTTATGTGTTGACTTTCACACTGAGTTGCCCGCCTGACGCTTTCGCAGGTTTTTCAAGTTGAATAGACAGTGGTGTAGGCAAATACGAGTGATACATATGTACATACAGTGGTGAAAAAAGGGAATTTGCGATGTCAATAATCGTAACTATGTACATATAATAATGCTTTTTATCGCCTTACATTTTGTAACGTCGAATGCATAATGAGGAAGGAAATCTTTTTGATAATGTCTAAGACAGAGAGCATTTTGTATATGTGTCAAAGGCCGCAGGCAGACATGGCGATGCGAGTACTTTTTTAATGCGTTTAGTTAAGAAATTCAGAATACAGTAGCCGCAACATATGTATACTGACAAGTTTTAACAATTTTTTTTTTTGTTGTTTAATTTTAATAATTTTTTTTTTTAAACATAGTTTATTCTTTCGAAGTTTCAAGCTTACTGTAATATTAAAAATAAAAATCAACACACTTTCGCAAAAAATTTCGAGCCTTTTAATAAGATTTATTATGTTTATTCGTTATATGGAAGCAAATGCGACAATAAAATTCTAAAAATCAACGGTACTTGTTAACTATTTGAAACTTGCGGTTTATTGCACTGAATACCCAAACATCTCTAAAAAATCCAATCTCATAGTTTGAAACTTGAATTAACATTTATTAAAGAATCAACTATATTTTTATAAAAAAAATACTACTAAAACTAAATAACAAAAAATAAATAAATTGTTAAAACTTGTCAATATGTGGTGGGGCTATAATTTTTTCGAGCACTGTTTGAAATTTCACATTCCCGTGTCAAACCCCAAATAGTATAATTTCTGCAGCGTTACCAGCTTTGGCGGCAACTGATACACTTGGTAATATCCCGTTCAGATGGCCAAACGGCATGGAAATAAAAGCTCCGATCCAATACTTTTCGTATAAATTCCCGTAAAAATGTCTAACAGCAAAATTACTGCCTAAAGTGAGAGTAAAAAGTGAGTACCAACAAAAAGTACGGGAACAATAAAGCATTTTTCCTATAAAAACGTCAACCAGTGATCGCTTGACACTTTCATAATTTTAGCAGAAGAAAAATTTCGGGTAAAATCTTGCAACTTCATTTACTACACAACTCGCCACAAACGCTCTCATTTCCTGTAACTTCCCGCAAATTCGTGTAAAAATCTGTAAGTTCATGCAATAATGGATCAGAGCTAAAGTTCGGATTATGGTTTTGTGTCGATTGTGCCTTATGCGTTGTAGAGGAGTTTTGCTGAAACCAACACAGAAGCTGTGTTGTGGCCACATTGAACCCTCGCAACGAATTAGGCCGCATATCATGATGTCTGTTTTTTGAACGATTCTTCCACAATGAACTTTTCCTCGTCTGTAAACAGAAAAAGTCTGTGACCATTTTTAGCAAACTGGCGAATCAAGGCTTTTCATTTTGACTTACGTTTTTGTTTCTGAGATTCCAGTCTAGCGATCTGGTCAAGCGATCTATGTCGCTTTTGCGACCCCGCCAAAGAGGCATCATTGCACCTCCTCCTGAACTGTGAGGCCGGTTCACGAAGAATGTAGAGGTGCACAGGACATCTATGGCCAAGAGAAGAGCGCATACACCCCTTACCCACGAGATTTATTCTAAAATTCGGATATAATTACAGCCCTAATAGAAGCGAAACGATACTCGTAATTTACTTTATTGCTTTTTCTCAACTTTAGTGTTGGCTACGAGAAAATGCATCTAATTTTTTTTATAGCTACTAGCACAGAATAAACAGTATACAGAAGACGCATGTCGACTATCCAACCAATTTGAATTTATGGCACGAGCGGTGAGGCAAGCAAGGGTATCACAAGCGGCGCTGCCTTTGTTACTTTAGCAGTATTTTCACTCGGCTGACGATGTTAATTCCATCGTCGCTATGACGACAAGATGTTAACTACGTTTTCCATCACGATCAGCGTTGCCGTTTTGGTACAATTGTATATTTTTTAATACTGTTTTTCTAAATTTTAATATCTGATCCTTTTTTGTTCCCAAATGCCGTATTTTGATACTTTCGGCTGGCAGAAATGAATTTTCGAAAACTATGAATAGTACTACTAGTCTAAAGGCTAATATTTTTTTATTGTTATTTGAAGTCTCACAATTTATATATAGATATTTATAAGTTGATTGGGTAACTCTTATAACTGTTATAGGACCCCTAAACCACACAAAAACATTACGAAATATCGAAAAAAATATATTTTTTTGAATTTAGTTTTTTTTTTTACGTTTTAAAGATGAAGCTATCAATATATACAACGCACATTAATATTTCTTGCACATATTTACTTGAGCAACGTTTCTTCAAAATAAGGTTTGCGCAATTTTATGCTGTAGTAAATTCCACAATATTGACTTGTACAAGTCTCGGGTTGCGCAAGGATTTTGTGTGGTTTAGGGTCCCTATAAGTTTGTTTTTCATTATGCAAATAAGCAGACAAAAGCAAGATATATAATTTTTTTTATAACTATGGATTTAATTATAAAATTTTATTTATTATTTGTTTTTTAAATAATAGTTTAATAAACAACAGTTTTGTTTGCTTTTGATACTTTTTCTGCTTGGCAACTGATACATTTTTTTCCAGCTCGCGGCAACGCTGATCACGATGTGTGTTTATGGCGAGATGTTAACTTCATGTTATTCATAATGGACGTGATGTTAACTCCTCTGCTCTGTTCCGGGTCGCCATGTTATTCATAGTGGTCGTAATGTTAACTTCTCTGCTCTGGTCCGGGTTGTAATATTACGTCCGCCGAAGAAAAATAAATTTGTATGTGGTGCGTCTTCTGTATACTGTTTATTCTGTGCTACTAGCTAACTAGTCGAGTACATACATACGTATGTATGTACATACACTGACCACTGTGCTCTCACACATATGTATGTAGATATGTGCGTTCGGCTAGATGATTCATGTCATACTTAGCAGCAACTTTCGATAAGTGTGAGCAATAATGATGATGTTCCTACTGATGATGGTGAATGGATTGGAAGGTTGTCTGCGCATAATGTTTACATTTATACGCTACCAATTCCAGTTTGAATCCCGTCCAGGTCGTCAATCAACCACTGGGAGTGTAGTTCCATGGCTGACTTTGCCCTTATTTGGCGTTGGCAGGCTTCCTTAAACAAAGTAAACAAATCGTACTATTACTTAAGTGTATACATAGTTGGTATGCCAGAAGAAAAGTAGAAAAAAGGCACGCACGCACATAAATTCATATATGTATATGTACATGATTGCAGTGGGCGGTGTGCGGCGAATGCGAACAGTGGCAGGTAAGCGATTATTGCGCATTACCAATAGCGTCGCTGCCGCGCTGCCACCGTCGTCGTAAACGTCTTCGCTGCCGTTGCTAATGTCACTGCCACTCGAAACTTGTACGGACGTAGTCGTTATCGCGTTGCCGGCTAGTGGTTTGCAGCAGTGTTGTGTGGGTTGTGTTGTAAGCCGCCAGCGCCCAATGGCAACAAAACAGGTTTTTCGCACCAGGTTTTACGGTTTCAAATACGACACATTGCGAAGCCAACGTCAAGCCGTCACCAAAACAGCCACAGTCGCAAATGCAGCTGCGATGAATCGATTTGTGTTGTTATTGTATGTAAATTTTATTGCTGTTTTACTGGGATTGCTGTTGGAATTTTTATGTCTTATGGGTGATTTACTAGCTGCCGTATCTGACCTATGCACATACATATGTATGTACATGTATACATTTCTGTTGCTTTTGAATGTATGTACATATGTATACTTTGATTTGATTGCGCGCTGAAATCACCCGCAACTGCGATTCGTCACAAAAATGTAAATTGAATAGGGCTATTCGCGATTCGGTGCATAAGAGCTGACAAATTTATGCAATTGCAGAAATATGCCATGGATTGTGAGCGACCTTTATTAAACTGTCATGGCAAAGCTTTTGCAAAACAATTTTTGTGCATCAGCTTTGGTTTTGTTTATGAATGCAATGCATAGCATTTTTATGCTATGGATTTTCGGTATTGCAAATTTGCCAAGCCATGACAAATGCAAATGCGTGTATTTTGTTTGTGTATTGCAAATAATTTGCAATACAAATTTGCAATGCAATGATGCTAGGCCATTTGCATCGGATCGCGAATAGCCCTAATATATCGAGGGCCAATGCATGACTCATGCAAATTATATGCCTCAATTGGTTTTGTTTTTGTTTTTTTGACCAACTCATTCCATTTTAAGTTTCCTCTTGTAGGTATATCTTACTTACATACATACGTATTCACAGAATTTATATGTAGATATATTTAATTAAGTATTGCATTATCTTATCTTAATTTTTGCCTTCTTTCTAGATCGATGCCAACAAAGATGGCTTCATTGACTTGAGCGAACTGAAGGAGGCACTAGATCAGGTCGGTTTCAAATTGCCTGGCTACCAGGTGCGTGAAATGATCGATGAGTTCCAAAATAAGCAACGCACATCGCATCAGGGTAAACTCAATATCGAAGAATTTGAAAACCTCTGTCTCGACCTCAAATCCAAAGATGTGGCGAGCACTTTCAAAACCGTCGTTTCAAAGAAAGAGAACCTCGAAACATTGGGTGGCATGTCAAGTATATCCTCTGAGGGCACCACACATTCAGTACGTCTGGAAGAGCAATTGGCCTTTTCCGATTGGATAAATTCGAATTTAGGTCACGATCAAGATCTAAAACATCTGCTCCCAATCGACGCTGAGGGAAAGCACCTTTATCATGCGATCAAGGATGGCATCTTACTCTGCAAGATCATCAATCACTCCTGCCCGGACACTATCGATGAACGTGCCATCAATAAGAAGAATTTAACTGTCTATAGAGAGTTTGAGAACTTGACGCTGGCGCTCGTTTCATCACAAGCAATTGGTTGCAATATCGTCAACATCGATGCACACGATCTGGCCAAGGGCAAACCACATTTGGTCTTGGGTTTGCTGTGGCAAATTATACGCATTGGTCTCTTCAGCCACATTACACTCGACAGCTGCCCTGGCTTGGCTGGTCTACTGTTCGATAATGAACGCTTGGAGGATTTGATGAAGCTGTCGCCTGAAGCCATACTGCTGCGTTGGGTTAATCATCACTTGGAACGTGCTGGCATTTCACGTCGTTGCACCAACTTCCAATCAGATATTGTTGACTCGGAGATTTATTCCCATTTGCTGAAGCAGATTGCTGGCAATGATGCAGATGTGAATTTAGATGCCTTGCGTGAGTCTGATCTGACGTCGCGTGCGGAGATAATGTTGCAACAGGCGGCCAAATTAAACTGTCGCAGCTTCTTGACACCGCAGGACGTTGTCAATGGGGTCTACAAGTTGAATTTGGCCTTCGTTGCGAACCTGTTCAACAACCATCCAGGACTGGACAGACCCGAACAAATCGATGGGCTGGAGTCCATCGAAGAGACACGCGAGGAGAAAAGTAAGTAGTGTGGAATGGATAGAAATGTGAGTGTAAAAGTAGTGGAAATTTTGAAGGCGATAAACGAGAAATAAAGTCAAGAATATGTAGTAGTGCGTAACAGTTTAAATATCGCCAATAACCATAGGGCCTTTTGATCAATTTTAAATAACCTTCTATGTACTTTGTTTTTCGGGATTAATTGAATTGCAAAAAGTTTTGAAATCACTAATTCAACCTTTTTTTATTTCTACTATCCATTCACTAACAGCTTACAGAAACTGGATGAATTCCATGGGCGTTTCACCACACGTCAACTGGTTGTACTCGGATCTTGCTGACGGTCTGGTTATCTTCCAGCTGTTCGATATCATCAAGCCAGGTATTGTGAATTGGCCACGTGTACACAAGCGTTTTACGCCGCTGCGAAAATTCATGGAAAAATTGGAGAATTGCAATTATGCTGTAGACTTGGGCAAACAGCTCAAATTTTCACTGGTCGGTATTGCCGGACAGGATTTGAATGATGGAAACGCTACTTTAACTTTGGGTGAGTAGAGAAAATATTTCGAAGTCGTGCTTTTTTATATTATATTTAACGTAATTGCTTTCTTTTCGTATGCAGCCTTGATTTGGCAACTCATGCGCGCCTACACTTTGTCAATGCTATCGCGTCTGGCTAACTCGGGCAACCCCATAATCGAGAAGGAAATTGTACAGTGGGTCAATAGCAAATTGTCTGCTGCCGGCAAGACGTCTAGCTTAAAGAACTTCAACGACTCAGCTATTGCCGATGGTAAAATTGTAATCGATTTGATTGATTCCATTAAGGAGGGCAGCATAAACTATGAATTGGTGCGAACCGGTGGAACCGAAGAGGTTTGTGAAAATACAAAAGAGCTATACGTATACATATGTAGGTAAATATGTTTGACTATAACTATTTCATATTTTCTTACAGGACAATTTGGCCAATGCTAAATATGCAATTTCCATGGCGCGTAAGATCGGTGCACGCGTTTACGCTCTACCCGAAGATATAACGGAAGTGAAACCCAAAATGGTGATGACAGTCTTCGCCTGCATGATGGCGTTGGACTATATTCCCAACATGGATAGCGTGCCAAATCAGAATCAAGAACCAATTGCTGTGGTGAATGATGTTACCATCAACAACACAAATAGCCACAACAATAGTAACAGTAACAACATTAACAATACAAACAGTAACTAATGATCAATAATCGGGCGGCCACCATTTCTATATACTTTAAATAGGAAGAGTAAAATTGTAAACATATACATATAAATATATAAAATAAGCATCTGTAAGCAGCAACCAATAATGCAAAAAAGAATGATTGAATTAAGAAAATTATTAAAGAAAAGCAACTATTCTTCAGCAATAATAAGAATGACCGTTAACGGCTGGAACTACAAGTACATAAATATGTATGGCGTTAAGCAATATACATACATACATGCAAACCTAAATAGATACAAACTAAAATTAATTATTTCGTCTTGTAACACAAAGCAACAATAACTTACATATGTATGCTATGTATTGTAATTTATTAATTTATTACCTTTGACAAAAAGTCAAGGCATTTTTTTTTAAGAGGAGAGTGCAAATGCACGTGCGCAGCATGTCGCTACCAGCCGATTTGCACTGTGCAAAGTACGATTATAAAGTGAAGCAGACATTATTATTGTATTATGATATAATGATAACCTTATTTTATAAATAAAGGTTTATTTTTACATACAAAGGGTGTTAATTATTTTGATTGATTAGAGTAAAAATGGAAGTATGTACATAAAATTAAGTTTAACGGGACTGTACGTATAACCAAAGCGCAGCTGTTGTTGTTGTAGTGCACTACTACCAACGACAACAACAACAACAACAACATTAAAAGTGTCAATATTTTGGTTTGCTACGTACTAAAAGACATTTTTCCAATATGTGTATCGCTGGGGACACACCATTTTTAAATTGTACCAAAACAAAAGACTTATGGCCTTATTCATAAAAAATAAAGTAGCTTTATAAAAGGTTTATAAATTGAAAAATATATGAAATCGTCGGTTTATAAAGCTCTTTAAACCTATTTTATTTTTTATGAATAAGGCCATTAAGTAACAAACTGGACTAGTAAAGCATTCTAAAGAAATCGAAACGATTTGTTTTTGTCAGCAGACGATGATTGTCCTCGTTAGGTTTCCCTGGTCGATCTGGTAAGGTAGTACTGATTATTACGAGCCAGATCTCTTAAATTTGAACTCCTTGCAGCATCCGGAACATTGATAGTTAGGTCTTTGGATGAAGGCACGGTAGTTTTACTTCATCCACGGTTGTGACGTAAGTTTTGGGTAATGCTGCTAAAGTTGCACTTCTTGAACGGAAAAAAATTTAGGGCGTTACGGTTTCGTAGACCTGATAGTCGTGGGAATGTATAAAAATGTTAACCTGTTAAAATTTAAAATCAATTTTGTTCGGAAAATTTGTCATTTTAAATTTTGGCGGTCTGATAAATTTTAAAATTCCAAAGCGAAACCAAGGCGAATTTACATATGGTGGTGTTGTTTCATCAGCTGTGTGTAGCGTTTGATTATCAACATTTTTGTATTTCGCTAGTGAGTGAGTGAAAACGGGCAAGAATAATTGAAATTTGACAATAACCCTCTAAAATCAAAAACAAAATTCAAGTAATTGTTGTATTTGTAGAATCGATACCACCTTATATGAATTCGCCTCGGTCGAAACCAGGCATCAATCACACAGCCCACATGCACGAAGAAACTTCAATTTTTCACACAAAAAAAAAATCAAAAAATGCCCAGATGTTCAACCTGTCGTTAATAGACGTGCAAGCTAACTTTGTTGTTGCTTTCACATGCAAAATTCTTCTTTAAGCGACCGGAACTCAAACATAGCGAGCGAGAAGTGGCGAATCGATGACGGCTATTATTTCCGCACCTACAATTCCATTCCGTTTACACAGTTCCGTTTCGTTTTCACTCTCCCCCACATCAATTTGACAGCCAACTAAGTGAACAGTTAGTTTTTCACGGCGCGCGCGGTTCGCAGTTTTATTCGCAAAATTTTGGGAAAAATTAACAAATTATCAAAATTAATACAAACTAAATGTGATAGCGTGAATAGAAAGTGAGTGAATGAGTGAAAAGTAATACAGTGAAATTTTATTCAGTGTTACAGTGCGTGATTTCGACGTATACCTAAATTTTGTTTTGCATTAGCGCGGGTTTTCGACGCTTAAATTTGTATGGCATCAGAAGTTCTGTGTGTTCTATCAAGTAGACGACTGATTTGAAGATTTCTTTGCTTTATATAGTGATATTCATAGGAACGTACACTCGCGCCATTTTAATTCATAAAAATACTTTGAGCTCTCGAGGCGCACTTCCGAAACCTTATTCTCCTATGGTCTCATTTTGCTTAACTACCTTAATGAATATTTTTTCTTTCAAATGTGGTGCACTGCTTGCTGTTGCCGTGTCTTCCAACATGCCGGCATCACTTGGCGATTCGCTTGTTGCAGTGCCATTTAGACCCTTTTCAAATGAATAAGATATTGTGCGTTTGTAAATACGCTGTTGAGCTTTTTGGACTTTATGTTCTTTCCCTTTAGCTGGACGTGACTTGTTGGCAGCGCTTCCACTGCTGCTTTCCCGGGGCACGTAGCATTTAGTATTCGTACCATCACCATCCACGCACTGGTAGCAAATTTTTCCACGCCTTAGCATTTGTATGCAAGTGCTGCTGTCTTTTGGGAGTTTTACCTGCACGTGATTGCCTTTATTAACTCTTTTATTAAGCTTTTCAACACTTTTGTCCGCTGCGGCGGCTTCCATTTCTTCCGAAGACGTTTGCTCAGCACTATGTGATGTAGGCCCGTCAGTATCACGCTGTTTCTTATAACTGCGTTCCCTCTCGAACGCATAATTCTGTGGTTCACTTTCACGTGAGAAGGAGCATGATTCCGATTTTTCGCCACTGCGAGCATTTTCACAAATCAGACAATTTTGCTTGTGTTTTTTAACACGGCGACATTTTTCCTTTGTTTTGCGCTGTGCACGATTTTTCGTTTCCTCCGTAAGCGGTTCCGTTTCCGCAGATGAAGAATTGTCTTCCGTTTCAAAACGTTGTTCTTCGCTTTCACTACCTTCGCCATCTTGGGGTTCTTTATTGTTTCCACTAGAGTCGTTATCTTCTCCTAGTTTGTCGCTAAAATAATGACGCACAAAATCTTCATAAGCCTTATCGTAATTGAATTCATTACTTGACGGCGCATTTAATTGATCTTCCGCGGGGTATGTGTTATCGGTTGATGAATCTGGCGTTGGTGGAACGTTGGTATCCAGCTTGGCGGGTAATGTGAATGCCGTCGAACTCACATCCGATCTGCGTTGTGCTACAGTGTTTGGTATACCCGGAAATGATAAGCTCGAGCGTTCCAAGAGTCGCAACAGCTCTCCAGGTGCAAATGATTCCCAAAAACTTTGTTGTGTGCTCGGGTGCAATACTTGCGTCGCACTTAATCGCAAAGCAAACAAGGAGACCACTGGGATCAGCAAAGGTAAGTTCATCTAAAGTAAGTTGTTTTTATAAAAAAATGGTTTTTTATAACAATTATTTGAAGAAAACCTACCATTGCCACGGGTTTTCAAAAGTGAATGACAAAATTCACCTGTATTTGCTGCCTTTATAAATGCAACTTCATGTTTGTTACTGCTAGGTACACTACCGGCTATTTTCTTTTTTTCAATCAAACCGCAACGTTTCACATTTCACTACAGTCAGGAAATCGTTGCAAGTTAGTTTGTGGTGCAAGCAAATGCTTACCACAAAGCTTCAGGAGACATAATTTTACATTTCCGAAAGTGATTTCTTTGAGTGAACTAAAAACTATTAAATCGCTACATACTTAGACAACACGTTAAACAGTTGCGCATAAACTATCATAAAATTTTCGTGTTGCACTTGCAACCTTTATAGCATTTCTAGAATTAAAAGCAATAAAAAGGTAAAATAAGTAAACCAGTTGCGTTGAATGAAAAAAGGTGGTAATTTATCCTCATACCCTTGGAGAGGCGTGCAAATGCATTCCAATCGAAATCACATACTTATCTTATTTGTATGTAGTAAAATTTTATTAAGCCTTAAGTTCTATTTATTAGCTTTCATGTAAATATGCTTGGCCTGTGATAAACCATTTTGTACATAATAAATAATACATATTACACTAGTCTAATCTGTTGGAACTGTATAAACAAGAATCAAACATATGTATATCAAACATAACGTCCTAATCCATTATAGCTTTTACGGAATGTAGTTAAATTAACATTCAAATCCTTACATTCCATTTATCCACGGGTTCCATAAACTACATATGTAAAAAATGGATAGTACAAACTAAAGAAAAACAATTCATGCACTTTGCGAGTGTTTGCGTTGATTTGTTTGTGTATATAGTTTCCATGTGTATTTACATTTGCTTTTGCCCAAAATTTGCGTGAATGAAGTAACTTCATTACAATGTTTCATGCCATATCACTTTGTCGCGTGCATGCGTGTCATGATTTTCGTTGTGGTTACCCTCCGTCCACCAATACTATGTACGACTATGTTGGACACCAATAACTATTTTTGATGCTTCAATTCCGGCAGTTTTGAAGTTTTTTTGTTGACGTTGTTGGCGCATTTCACGTCGTTTTTCACGTATCAACTGCTTTGTTTGCTCTGTGTCAAGTTCGTCCCAGCCACCATCGATTGAATCGTCTACCCAATCTTCTAGATCCGCCTGTAAAAAGAAAAATCGAATTTGCAAAGCTATTTCGTATAGTGGCCTTTAAGATAATTACATTCATTGTTATTGGCACATCACTCTTTGCTTCTAGGCGTGAAAAATCGGTTTTATCATTACTATTATCGCCCAAGTAATATTTAATTTGAGGTTGTATAACAGGTGCTAATTCCTATAATGGGGATGTAGTGAATGCACAAAATAAATATCAAATACTACGAGACTTACAGTAAAGAAATCTGGCTCTGGCTCAGCTGGTGGCGGAGTTGGTGGCTTAGCCAGTCGTTGACGATATTGTTCGATATGCTCCGTCACAGTGCGCGGACTTTCATCCCAAGAATTCCAATCGCGTTCCACCTGTGCACATATTTAATTATATCAATTGAATTATCAACACAAACCATAAGGAAAGCATATGTGTGTACGTGTTGTTGTTGCTGTGTCCGATTCCAATTGGGTGACTGCTTTCCTACCGGCACCGCCTCTTGACCATCACCTATCACAACTTTTATTTCCATTGGTTCTGAGAAACTCGGTTTTCTTCGTCTTCCGAAAGAAAAACAACACATCATTCGTCGCAGCAGCTTAACAATACTTAGTAATAGT